TATATATATATATAAAAGTAATTGAGAAAGATCAAAATCACCTTTTGTCTACGTTTACGGGGGAACTGAGGCTTCCATGTTCCATGTTCTTGAAAAGGAAAGCTCAATTTGATTCTCGTTTGCCTCTATAATAGAAAATCTACTACCTTGGATTCTGTGGATCCATGTAAATTGGTCAGTTAATCAATGATCACATAAAATTATTATATATACGGATCAAACTGTTATTGTTTATACAAAACAAAATATTATTTTTATTATTTGTATATATCGTATAAGATTGAATAATAAAAGTAAATAAATAAATAAAAACTAAATGTATTTTTTTTAAAAAAAAATTGTGATTAAATTAAGTGATTCCAGAATTGGTGAAAGAAATTACTAACTCGTTAATTTTTTTTATACTAGCATATTACGTTTTGGTTCAAAAAAAAGAAAAGTAGTATATTACGTTAATTTTAATGTACATGAATATGAAAGAAATTTGTAATTTAATGTATAGCTTTGAGATAAAATTATATAATTAACAATTATTGAATAATGTAAAACTATATTACAAAAATTTATTCTAATGTAATTTGATCATCTCTCGTATATTTGTGTGCTAACTAATTATTAAGAAAGGTTTACCCCCAAAGTTTTGATGTGCTTCCTGATGCATTCCAGACAATGTCAATATACCTGCAAACACGAGTTTAGTTTTGTCAATTGAGTCATAACTTTGACTTTATTTTTCTTTTATTAGCAAGCTAATTAGAAATATTTTTAAGAATTTATTTAACTAAAAACAAAAAGCATTTTTAGTAGAAAAACTTTTAAAAGTACTTTTAATTGAATTTGTACTTAAACAACTCTTTGTCTCAAAAAAAGTTTGAGTTAATTTCATTGAAAAGTGATTTACTTAAAATGGAAAATAGTGAGTCGTAAATATATATACCCTCTATTATTGAATTTGTTGTGAGCTTCAAGCACATTATCTATTCCATTGTATGATATTCCAAGGACAGTGCCCTCTGGTTTTGACAAAGTGACACGAATGATGCCATTTTCCATTATGACCTGAAGATTATATATACCCAATTGAAACAATACGAATATGGTTACAATTGAAGTAAATTTTTTACATTTAAAATAGGAAATTTTACCTGATTCTTGTGTTCATACAGATTCACTCCAGGATGATTGAATGTTATTCCAGGACTGTTGATTTCCCTTAAACTCCTGCAATTGGAAGGATTACAAATCGCCAAAACAAAACAATATATCTATATATTATTTGAAGTACATTTACGACGGTATACTGCATCTTAAACCCTAAGTATATTTATCATACTATTTTTTTTAACAATATCATCTAATAATAAATTAAAATATATAATAAAATTGTTAATTTTGTAATAATTACCTAAAAACTTATATGTAAAATTTTTCTTATTAATTGAAGATATAAAAATATATGAAACTAAACTGTATTTAGTATATCGTATCAACACATTTAAATTGTGAATGTATAATATTCTATTTTTTATTTTAGTTTTCGTAAAAAAAATTTAAAATAGTCTTTGTGAAATATTCTTTTTTATTTTTATTTTAGTCCTTGTTTTTATTTTAGTATTTATAATGTTTTTTTTTTCCTTCAATTATGTATAATATTTCATTCTTTTTGAGTTTGTCCTTTGAAAAAAAAGAAGAAGAAATAAAAGCAATATTACAAAGAAAAAAAAGAAAAAATTGAGTATATTACAAAACAAAATAATAAAGATCAAAGTTGTAACGTAGTAAGTATTTTAGAAGCCCATGGGTGATTTAGTAGTCCATAACGGCCGTTTCTAAACTGGAACGAGTCGTTCCAAACTACTAAATAGGCTTATGAATCTTGGACTGGAACGAGCCGTTCCAAAATGGGCATTGTGAGTTAAATTCAACTCCAGAATTGGTCATTCTGATTTTAGAACGGGTCGTTCTAGACGTGCCAGAACAACCCGTTCTGCATGTGAATTTTACACATGATGAAGGAGTCCAAAACAGGCCGTTTCAGATTTGGAACGGGTCGTTCTTGCCACTTCAGACTTCTATAAATAGAGGTTATGCAGTTGAGGAGAAGGAGAGGTTTTTAGAGAAAAGTTTTAGAGAGAAAGACTTTGGACTAAGAAGCTTGCTTTGAGTGGATTGAAGTTCCGGGTTGAGCTATTCGAAAAGTAAATTCCACTTCTTCTCAGTTCTTGGCTATCCTAAGCCAATCTTCAAGTAAGGGAAGCTAGATTGTATGTTGTTTGGTTGTATGTGAGTTTAGGAACTCATATGAAGTTGTATAATTACATTGAGAGGTATGATGTGTAGAAAGTGAAATGAAGAGATGTATGTTGAGTATAGTGTTGTAAACTAAATGAGTAGTGTGCCAAATAGAGAATGCGTTGAATACATGGTATGTTGCTAAAGTTGCTATATTTATGTGTAGATTATTTATATGTTGTAAAATATGATGAAATGATATGTTGTGAGTTGTGAGAAGCATGATGTGAAATGTGTAGACGTGTTGAGATTTATACAAAATTTATTAGTAGACCATGTTGTTAAGTTGTTAGAGAAGAGTTGTATGTTGCTATAAAGTTGTATGTTGTTCCATGTGTTGAAAATATATTATTTTATGATGATTGAGTTGTAAATTATGAGTTGAGCTAATAAGCTGTTGAGTTGATTGTGTTATTTAAAGTTGAAATGAGATATTGTGTTGTTAAAATGTGTTGTTAAACAACGTTGATGAGTTGTTGTGCTGATATACCATGTTGTTTAAGTTGAAAGTTGATTGAGATGATGAGTTGAAAGTTGTGTTGTTTAAGTTGTTGAGCTGAGCTGTGTTGTTGAGTTGTAAGCTGATTCAGTTGTGATGATAAGTTGTTGATCACTAGGACTAGAGGAGATGTTTTCGAAGTTGCTCATCCAATTGTGTGGATTGAGATAGTTGTGGTGCTCTGAGAGCCCAATTTGTTGAAAATCCTCCTTGGGAAGTTAAGTGGACGTTGTGTTGTTCTCCTCTAGGACTTAGTTGGTCCCGTGTGTGGGCAAGGTTGAGGCATACATGTATAAAGCGACCACGATATAGGGACAAGGTCGAGCTATACCGATTACAAAGCGACCACGATATAGGGGCAAGGTTGAGCTATACCGATTACAAAGCGACCACGGTATAGGGGCAAGGTCGAGCTATACCGATTACAAAGCGACCACGGTATAGGGGCAAGGTTGAGCTATACCGATTACAAGGCGACCACGGTATAGGGGCAAGGTCGAGCTATACCGATTACAAAGCGACCAATTGAGTAAAGTACGAAGTCGGGAGCTTAGTTCCTAACCGAGTACTATAATTCCTTGTTTAAGTGGCAAAGTCTGAGAAATCGTTATCGTGTTGTGGATTTCTATCCAAATTTGTTGTTTACCTAGCAAGCCCAAAAAGGTTATGTGTTGTTGGTTCAGTAGGACCTAGCCACTTAGACTACTCACCACGTTGTAGGAGATCTCTGAGTTGAAATGCGTGACGATGCATAAGTTGTTGATGAGTTGATTTTTTGTTGATAAGAGTTGTATATATGTTTTTGTGTTGTTAAGCTGTGATTGTGTTGTATGTTGATCCTGTTGAGGATGATGATAGTGTTGTTATGTTGTAAGTTGCTTAATTGTATACAAGTTGATGATGATGCTAGTGTCGCTAGATTACCTGTGTTGTAAGTTGTTTTAAACATGTGTTGTTGAGAGGTGTGTAACACATGTGTTGGTTTTTGTTATGATGAATATGATAACTATTCCAATGGTTTGTAAAGTAGTTGTGTTGAAGTGTTGATACAACGTTGATATGTGGAATCAAGTTGAAATGATGTTAAGATGTATAATATATGTGTTGTTTATCTTTTGTGTCGTATGTGAAGATGGTTATATAGTTGTGTTTTATATTTGATATTTATGAGTTGCTTATTGTCTCTAGCTTACCCTTGCATGTTTCCATGTGGTTAAGACTGCAATGATCATATTGTTAGATAATCTTAAATTTTAGAGTTAGTTTATCTATTTTATTTGTTTTAGTTTAGATAAGATAGTTTTTGATAAGATTTGTTTTGATAAGATATTTTGTTATCTTCTTGTTAATTTGGTACGTTGTACAATGGCTATTTAAAGGTCATCTCTTATTCAATAAAAAAATAGTGAGTTGCTACGTTCACCCACAATACTAGTATTACTCGTCTCTCTTTATATTTCTACAAATTGGTATCAGAGCTTTATGCTCTGAGTGCCAAGTGTGAGAGGAAAACAGTGTGCGCCTGTGAAGGGAAGAAAGAAGAAAGAGAGAGTAATGGTGAAGGTTGTTAATGCTATGTAAGCCCCCTTCATTGCTAAGCATTGTGGTTTGCTTGCCGCTTGAGCAACTTGTGTTGAGATTCATGGATGATGAATCAAACTCAGCTCTGAAGTTTTGAGAGTTTTGATGATAACAAAGGACACAAGCTAATAACAAAGGACAAGTTAATCAAGAAAGGAAGACATGAAGATCATGAAAGAATACAATATGTGATAGGAGTAGCTTATATGTTCTTATATGGTGTGTTGCCTTGTTGAGTTTATTGTGCATGTGTATGCTTTATGCCACTCCCATTTTCTAATCACAAAAAGGAACAAAATACATGTTAAAGATTAAGAACAGTCTGGTGCACAACAAAATAAAATGATGCCAAAACAAGGAGTCTTGTTGGCATACGTGCACAAAACACAATCTATATGTCCATTACACAACATTTGCACATAATGGTAGCAAAAGCTAGGACGAAAAGTCATCCAATGCAACAAAAGTGAGGAAAAAGACAATCAATAACTGCATTGAAAGCTAGATTGCAAAGAAAAAGAAAAAGAAAAAAAAAAAAGGAAATTGCATTGGGCTCCTCTAATCTCCTCTGTACCTGGTCTTTGTTGAATGGAGTAGTTTTGTTTTAGTAAATCACTTCTGTAATTACTATGATGTTAGATCAAGTTACTTATCAGTGAAATGTTCTGTTTACTGGCTAATCCATCATGTTGTGGGTTAACAATTGGAATTCTAAACACTTGAAATGTTCTGCAAACTTGTTGTCATTTCTGAGAAACTGCTATTATGATTGTTTCTTTTTAATTTATGCATAACAGAAATGTAGCTTTGTAAATGCTATATAATTGCTCTTTTGGTGGTTCTGATAATTTACAAAGAAACATACTGCTGGGACTGAAAAGCACATCCTTAATTGATACATCTATTAAGTTATTTAAGTTTCTTGAACTTAGTTGTGGATAATCAATATCAATGATGATATTAATCACTCATGCCTTTGTGCAGTCTAGCAAATGGCATTCCTTTATATCTTCATTATGGCACTATGGCTACTATGAAGCCAAGAGCACAAATATGGCACTAATGGCCCAACGCATTTTTCAGCAGCAAGAAAAGGTTCAAATAGTAAAAACAAAAAAGTGAGTTTTAACGTGTAAGTTAACTGATGTTATGGAAGGGGTGGTATGTGAAAGCCAAATTATAAAATAAGGAAGGTGGGTGTCAATTAATAAAATAGAAGGGAGGTCAGTGTTATTTTGACAGACCGTATTTTCTTCTTCTGTAAGTGTTTACGGAAAAAATTATCCAACCAGGGAATAAATAGATTGATTCTGCTAGGTTAATTCATTTGTTTCTTGTTTGCAAGTTATTATGCTGCTGTAGCTAATTATTGTCACTTTTTTAATTTTTTTTTTTGTTTGTATAATGCTGTTTGTTGCTTCAAACGGGTGTTTATAATTAGGTAGTATTTAGTACTTTGTTAGTGCTGATTGCTATATCCTCCCTTGAGGTCTGTCAAAATAACACTGACCTCCCTTCTATTTTATTAATTGACACCCACCTTCCTTATTTTATAATTTGGCTTTCACATACCACCCCTTCCATAACATCAGTTAACTTACACGTTAAAACTCACTTTTTTGTTTTTACTATTTGAACCTTTTCTTGCTGCTGAAAAATGCGTTGGGCCATTAGTGCCATATTTGTGCTCTTGGCTTCATAGTAGCCATAGTGCCATAATGAAGATATAAAGGAATGCCATTTGCTAGACTGCACAAAGGCATGAGTGATTAATATCATCATTGAACTATTCTTGATATGGTCCGAGCTATGCTTAAAGGGAATAATATGCCTGAGAAGTTTTGGGCAGAGGCAGTGCAGTGTGCTATATATATACAGAACAGGTGCCCACATTCAAAATTGGATGATGTGACACCTCAAGAAGCATGGAGTGG